CCACTGCACTCCAGCCTGAGTGACAGAGAAAGACTCTAAAAAAAAAAAAGTAGATTCCAAAGATGCTAATTCAGAAGAACCTGGATTCTCCCAAGTAAACAGTGTTGGAGAAAGTAGAAGAAGAGCCTGACTCCTCCCCCAAACCCTCCCCTAGCAAACTTCTACAACCCTCTCTAGATGGACACCCCAAGGATGCAGGCATGGCTCTCCATTCACGGTGTAGAACGTCTCACTCTAACAGAAGGACGCCTTCTCCAGGAAGGATCTGTGCCTCAAACAGGTCCATAACTTCTACTGTACTTGCCGTGATGTGTTTCAAATACAGGTTGGGCATCCCTAATCGAAAAATGTGAAAACTTTTGAGCCTCAACATGGTGCCACGAGCAGAAGACTCCACACCTGACCTCATGTGGCAGGCTGCTCATGGGGCACATCCCGGTCAAAACACAGCACTTTGTTTTGTGCATAAAATTATTTAAAATATTATATAAAAGTATCCTCAGGCTATATGTCTAGTGGATATATGAAGTAAATTCGGTGTTTAGACTTGGGTCCCCAGATATCTCATTATATATATGCAAACATTCCAAAATCCAAAAGAATCAGAAATCCGAAACACCTTTGGTCCCAAATATTTTGGATAAGGGATACCGTATCAGGTACCGAGAAAGTATTTACCAAGTGAATGCATTCCTTATCTACCTCTCAAAGGATGCCTGTTTACACTGCATCTTACATGTACACACAGAGATCCCTAATCCTGTATGTACGGCTTGTCAGGGCCTGGTCGCTGCCCAGCTTCTCTTCGCCCTGCATGTCAGCCCAATCCTGAGCAGCGTGGTACGTGAACACAGCAAATCCATTTTCCAAGGTGGCCAGAATGCTTCCCTCGGAGTGACACCGGCCCCCAGTATATAGGCAAGTAGGTAGCTCCAAGAGGCCCTGGATCCTTACAGTAACTACTCGAAAACATCTGAGTATTGCCACAGGCAAAGTGGCTGCCTGGGCTGTAAAAGGGTGACTTAGAGATAGGGTATGCCCTGTGAGATAACGTCCCGGGAGATGAGTCTCATACGCAGCAGCCTTTGTCTCCCTGACATCCGTGCCAGAAGCTGGGTAGGGCAGGGCAAGAACCAGCAGAGAGGGAAATGACCCTGGGCTAAACATTAACTCTACAGCAAACACCAGGAGCTGGGACCAAGTGGTACCCATTTCCCAGGGACGGCAAGAAGGAGGGGGTGGAGGAGCCCAGGAGAAAACAGACAGATTTTGGCGGACCATTGATCTTACCCAGGAAGAAACCAGTCAAGATCCACACAGGAAACTCTGACCCTGCAGCCAAATCCGGATAGGCAGAAGCCAGATGTGGGACAAGGGGACAGGAGACCAGGAGGTAACTGAGCAAAGGAGGGAAAGGGGGACTGAGGCAGGCATGGGGCCTATGCAGAAGGGTAGAGAAGGGGTGGGGCTGGGCTGGGGGCTCATCTGAAAAACTCAGGATGGGAGCCAGGAAGACCCTTCAAGTTGGGAGCAAATACAGAGGGGAGACAGGCAGAGGTGGAGGAGCAGTGTCAGTTCTGAGGCAACACCAGGTACCAGGCAGGTCTCCTACCCTGTCCACTGACCACACCCCAACACCCTGAATTGCATTCCTACAAACCTTTGTTCTTTTGCTCTCACACTTAGGCCAGCCAGTCCCCAGGCTTTGCACTATCCTTCCCTCACCTCCACAAAGTTGCAGCCCTAACCGGAGGTGCTTCAGGCAAGCAGGGTGCTAAGTCTCAGGCAGCTGCCAGGGTCTGGGCTCCTGTGCTCTTATCTCTGAAATGGTCCTTCCTGGGCTGCCATGGAGAAGACTGCTCACAGGAATGTGCCAGGAGGCCTAGGAAGGAAACCCCTGTGACCTTGTGCCCCATCGGGGGCTGAGAGGGAGTACATATCAGCCCTCCTGCCCCAACAACCCTGGCCGGGTTGCCCCTCAGCTCTGCCCTTGGCTCCCTGCTAAAGGCAAAACCCTATTTCTGCTTTTCCCTTCATCTTATGTCTACTGGGGCTGCTCTCTTGATCTGAGGGCACTGACGAATATGACTGGGGTGGCAGACTAGGGCTTCGGGGGTAAGGAGGAGTAGATATAATCAGGCCTGGGGGGACTCAGGGCACCTGTAGATGGCACAGCCTTCAAACTCCACTCTGGACCTGACACTCTCCTGCCACAGCCTCTCCCTGTGTCCTTGGGGTCCAATCACTTTTCTCCGCATGACTCACTGTTGAGACCAAGCCTGTTTGTCATCATGGCAACGGCTCCTCCCTGGCTAGCCATGTAAAAGTAAATGCTTTTGTCTGCAGCAGAGAGGTAGAGGTGAAGGGGGAGGCTGGGGCATGGGCTGGGTGGTGGCTGGGCTTCCTTTCCTATCAGACCCCGGCTGTTCCAGAGGGCCAGAGATGCTCTTGCCAATATCAGTGATTCTGCAGAGCACTGGCTCTCACTGCTCCAACCCCAACCAGGGGCTCCAGCAAGCATCCCCAGGACTGGGCGCTATAATGCCTTTTCCTCTCTGAAGGCCATCTAGTGTAATGAATGAGCCTCAGATATGAGAATGGCTGGAGCGCTGATCTTAGGATCCAGAGAGAGGTTATAGAGGGCCAGTCAGCAAAGCTGAGAAGGGGAGAGGAATCCTGCCTGATGGGCACATTCCAACCAGCCCAGGGCAACACAGAGGCAAGGCAGGAAGACAGAGCTCCCTAAGGAAACACAGAAAACCAGGTCAAAGCAGCAGGTGCAGGGCAAGGGCCTCCTGAAAAGCCGCGGATGACGTCTGTGGAGGGGTGCTGGGGAGAGGAGCTCAGAAAGCAGAGCTCTGTCATGCCCGGCTCCTCTGCTGACTCTCATACCTGTCATCCGAACCCCTGACTTCTGTCCAACTCCATCCTCCAGCCAAGAGACAGCATCTGCTTCTAGCCCATTGCTACAGGAAGAGGCTAAGGGAGAAGGAATCAGGGGACAGGATGGCAGAAAGAAGGGGAGAAAGTAAAGTCTGTTAGAACCAGACAGAGAGGGAAACCTAGCTGGGAGAATGGAAATCAGAAAGAAGGAAACGGTGGAAGAGAAAAGGAGAGGAAAGGAAAGGGGTGGCGTCAGAGAGCGAAGGGCTGAAAAGAATCCAAGGAAGCACAGACTGAGACGAAGCCAAAGGCTAAGCTAAAGAGTAATAAAAAGAGAAATGACAGATAAGAAGAGGAAGGAGATTAACAACTAGGATGGGAGCTGGCCTGTCCAAACCAGGATGTCCCAACTGTCTAACAGGGCTGCAGCCACGTGGGGCCTGTTCCCCTCTGGGGCCTGAATTTGTGTGATGCTGCTTAAAAAAGGCACAAGGAAGAGTTGAGTGAAGGATGCTGGGGTCCCCACGATAGCTGGGCTGCGGGCCGCTCCCAGGAAGCTCAGCACTCATCCCCCTCTCCTACTCCAGGCCACAGGTCAACAATGGCCTAAGGGACAAGGCGGTGGCTCAGAGATAGTAGAGTCTGGCTTCTCTCCCACCCCAAGATACTTCAGCCTACAACTCCTCTCCACAACTCTGTACAGCCCTTCAAATTCTGCCTTGTTTGTGGTGCCCCCAGGACAGGCCGGCCACTGGGCAGCAGGACTCATGAGCACGTGCCTGACTCTGAGGAACCACCCAGCACCAAGTTTAGGAAAACACACACAACTGATCTGCAACCCTCTCCCTACATCAAACCCACACTTCTCCCCTCCAGCCTGTCCCCTGGCCAGAGTGCCCTCCTCAACTCTGTCCTTCACAGACAGGGCTGCTCCATGCCCACCTCGCCTGCTGGAGCAGAACCTGGTGCGTCCAGGGAGGGGGCAAAGATGGCTTTCCCGGGATTCAGCAGACTGAGGTGTGAGGACGGCAGGTTCAGAGAGGTAAAGAGGTCCATCTGAGGTCAGCCCCTCCTCTGTGAAGTCCCAGAGGGCAGAACACACAGCCAGAGCTGGCTGAGAGCCTCAGACAGCTGCTCTGCAGGGGAAAACGTTCACATCCCACCACCCAGTTTGTGTGACTGAGAGGCTGTGACCTCTGCCAGGCCTGCTTACCCCACAACAGTTTCTAGGCCTGCAGCAGCTGCACAGGGCGTCCCCAGGATGACCTAGACAGTGGCCCCGCTCCACACCTTCGCCACAGCCCCATGCACCAGGAGGTCTTATAGAAAGGGCATGCTTTTGTAGCTGTTGAAGGGGTACTTGGGACAGAGGTCAAATCCCATCACATGGGTTGACTCCTCTATCAATGGGGGAAAGTCTTCTGGCTGCATTTGCCCCAAAATGTCTTGATTAAGGGAAGAAAACTAAGTTCAGACCCCCAGGCTGCTCCAGCACCAGAATTCTATCTGGCTTTGGAATGGCCACTCCCTCCCTGACTGGTCTCCTCCTTTACGGTTGATGGACCCTTGTCTAAGAACCTCAGTGAGGCAGGGGATATGGCTGGCCACGCCTCCTTGGTCCTCTGAATGAAACCCTCCCTCCCCAGTCTGCCCTGGTCTGCTGCAGAAAATGACTGCTGCAGGTGGTTTAGGAGCAAAGGGGCTGCTAAGAAAAGAAACCCACAGGGAAGCCCAATCGCACCCCACACCTCTTCCCCCCCAGCCTCCATCCGACTCCCACACCCCACACCTCTTCCCCCGCAACCTCCGTCCCCCTCCCACAACCCACACGTCTCCCCCCGTAATCTTCATTCCCCTCCCACACCCCACACCTCTCCCCCACCAACCTCCATTCCCCTCCCACTTCTCAGATACCCAACAAGAAGAGAAACAGGAATACTTACATTATACCAACTCTGGCTTTTCTGAAAGGAGAAAATGAAAGAAAAGGTAGAATTAGTCAGGGAAAAGATGGTGGGAAGGGCCACAGGGAAGGGTACACAGACAGCAGAGGGTGGGCAGGGAGGAGGGGTCCAAATGCAGCTGAATGCTTCCCATGTGGTTGCTCAGGAGGGGTCCTCCTTTCTCAAGGCAGTTCCAGAAAGGAGGCCCGAGAGCAGTCCATGCTGGAAGCCCACCGAGGGCGGGGTGGCAGGCAGCGGCAGCACCAGCTCGAGCTCAACCGGAAGGGAGTCGGAACCCCATGGCAAGGTTCTGATGGAGTGAGGGGCGCACTATGGGCATTTGAGACCCAGTCCCCAAATGGGCCCTGACCAGAAGCAAAATGCTGATGGCGGCCAAACCAGCCTTCTGCTCTAAGACAGCCCCTTGTAAAAGGCAGGGTGGGACACTTTTGAGGTAGAAAATGGTCTACCTAACACTCCCTCCAACTTTGATCTCAGCAGGCAAGTGAGTAAATTTTTGCCAAAATTGGGCTGTACCTAAACTGTAATGGTCGGGGAGTGCTTGGCGGTTCTGTATGGGTGGGAGGTTGAAGCACATAATCGCTAAGGGTCCTTTCCAGCCCAGCGGTGCCATAATTGAGTACAAGCAAAACAGACCCCACTCCAGCTCCAGAATGTAGATGTTCTCCATTCCCAGACCCAGAAGGAAGGAGACCTGAATGTGTCTCCAGGGAAGAGGAGGGATAGCTAAGATTGTGCCTTTTCTGTCTGCAAGCCCAGTGGCCAGTCGTCTTTTATGTACTTCCCCTTGAAAGATAGATGAATATGCAGATAGACAAGCTTGTGTGCACACATACACACACACACACACACTCATACACATATACACACATACAGACCACACACACGCACAAATACACACACATACAGACACACACACACACATACACACCACACACATGCACAAATACACACACATACACACACAGACACACACCACACACACATATACATACAGGCACACATGCACACGCTCGCGTGCACACACACACAAATGCCTAAGTTCCATCTCTTGGTGGGCCGTAGATTATTTTTAGTTTTAGGGATCACTGGGTGGGGAAACTTTGCCCACAGATCAATACCTTAGCTCTACCCAGAGGTCTGGATCCCCTCTACCTGCTGTTAAAGTGTCCTGACCCAGAAGGGCAGACGAGAGTAGCCACGGTCCTTGAATGCCTGCTGTGTTTAGAGGGGACGAAGTGACTGTGGACTCGAGGGTGGATGTGTGCCCGCAGTGATGACCACTGGTCACGTGATTTCTCTCTCCCTCTGGAACTCTGTAGAGAGGGTCCACCTTCACCACACCCCCCACCAGCGAAACCAGTCTGAAGACGAGCTGGAAGGGCTGAGGGGCCTATCGTGGGTGGGGTTGCTTCTGAACGGTTTCGCCCTTACACATGCCCTCCGTGGCCAGGATGTGACCAGAAGCCAATGGCAAGGCTCCCAGTCCCCCTCTGCAAGATGCTCTCCATGGTCATTTCCCAACAAAGCCTGTCACCACAGTCCATCCGGAGGCCACATCCTCCCATCACAGCCTCATCTCCTTCTCTGATTCAGAGATTTCAGCAGGTAAAGGGCCCAAATCCAAATATTAAAAACTGTTTTTTCCTGAGAAAGGTGTGGCCATATAGGAGTACCAGACCTGAAAACTCGCCTCTAGGATTGCAGTCAAGGCTACCCCCTTCTGGAGGGAGTGGATGGGGCAAGCAGGCTGCATCTGGGGTCTGAAGCTCACTTCTTGGGTCCTAACACAGAAGCCCTGACTTAGAGCCCACAGGGCAGCGGGCTGTGCAGACACCTCCCAGCAGTGGGAAGGTGCACTCTGGGAGCTGCCGGCCCCAATGGCCCCACAGTCTCCTTGTGCTTCCTCAAATGCAACCCAGGTCATGAGATCCCTGAGTCACAGTGGAGATCTCCCAAGCCCCCAGATCCTCATCTCAGTGTCGTGGCCTTCATGTAAGAAGACCCTAGGAGGAAGGCGGGCAACAAGAACATGGGCTGATGGGGGGACCCCAAATGCCTGACTCCTCCTGCACAGGGCTCCCTCCTGCCCCAGGTAGACAGAAGTAGATGGTCCCTTTGCATGGGCTGGCATGTGGGCACTTGTGCCTTCCAAATCTGTGTGGAACAATGTGTGAGGGTCACACACAGTCTTAGGCAGGGAAGCCAGTCCTGTCTCTAACCTGCTCTGTGATGCCCTTGTATCTAATGTTTGCTCTTTGTAAAGGGTGGATTAGAGAATGTATTAAAGAATTGAAAAGAAATGTGAAAGATACCAAAGAGCAGAACTGTGCTGAGGCTCTGCCCTGAACAGCCATCCCAGGCAGTTTCTTACCTGCTGCCACTGAGGGGCCACAGGAACAATGGGTCAGCCCTCCAGCCATGTCTAAAGCAGCCCCCAAGCCTGTCCACTGTGGCCAGGGTCCCTCAACTCTACCCAGCCTGTTGGAGGCACATTCGATCACCATGGTTCTGCATTCCTAGAAATGAATCCTAAAGGCACTACCAGACAGGGATGACCTAGACTCACAGGGGCAGGGAAGTCAGAAGAGCTGTGGGCCTCGGGGGGTGGGGAGGGGTGTCCCTCATCCTCTGGCTTTCGTTTCTGTAGCACCCCCACCTGGAGGACAGGGCCAGAGGGAAGGAAGGCACAGAACCAGGGAGCAGGGGTGAAGACTTCTCTGACAGCTTATAAATAAATGGATTTGGCCAAAGAGGAAGAAGGGAGAAAAGGACAAAGACACAGCTGTTGGGCACACACTCATTTCTACCGCTTTTCCTAGAAGGCCTGAAAAGCAAGCACCTAAAGGAATGCAAGGCCCCTGGAAACAGACCCAGGTGGTTTCCAGAAACACCTCCCACTGCAAAGGCTCGGGGAGTCTGGAAGATGAAGGTGGGGGCGAGGGGGCAAGGACTAGGGGAGCTCTACATTTAGCAGGAGTTAGAAATAAAAAGCAATTCTTACTTTGATCAGGTTAA